CGCCCACCGCCAGGCCAACTTCGCCCCGCCTCCGGGCACGGGCCGCCTGGCCTCCCGCCGCCGCCTCAGGAGGCCGCTTCTCCTCCGCTTCCGCCCCGCCGGGAGCGCCGCCCGAGGAGCCCCTCTGGGCCACCGGGGAGGGAGGGAGGGAGGCGGGACGGGCCCCAGGGGCGGAAACCGGAGGAAATTCTGTCCCCTGGTCACGCACACCCCCTCTGCTCCCCCCCCCGAAAAGAAACACCACACACCTTTGCTCAAGAACTCAGTTTTTTTAAAAAAATAATTTTATTAAAGAAGGTTAATAATGACAACATAAACATAAAACGTGTATACATAACAATACACCTATAATCTCCCTCTTGTGCCAACCTCACCCTCTGGACTAGGTGACCTGAAATATCCTTTTAATCCCTTTTCACCCCCTTCCACTCCAAAAATAGGTTGATTCTTCTGCTGGCTTGTGACCTTTTCCCTTCACAAAGACATAGTACTTCATATTTAGATTCCATATCTTTTTAAAATCATCATATTTTTGTCATCAACGGCTCAGTTTTGACTCACTGGGAAAAGGAGGCCAGGGTTGGCCCCAGGCGGGCCTTGGACCAGTGAGCAGTCTGGGGCGTGGGCAAAGGAGGTCCTCTCTCATGCCCCCCCCACGCAGCGGGTGGGCAGTAACAGGGCTCTCTCTCTCTCTCTCCTCTGTGTGGGTTAGAAGACTCTGGCCCTCCTCTCTCACAGTAGCCATGTGGAGCTTCCTTCCACTCCTGCCTCTGCTATCTGCCCCACAGGACAGGGGTTCCATCGCAGTGTCGGCAGCGATGGCAGAAGACCTGGACCCAAAGCAACTGCAGCAGATGAAGGAATGCTCCAGCAAGACGTACCGCAGCAGCCAGCACTCGCAAGCCTTGCTGAGCGGCTTGGTGGCCCTCCGAGACAGAGGCATCCTCTTTGACGTGGTCCTCCATGTGGAGGGGAAGCCCATTGAGGCACATCGTATCCTCCTGGCAGCTTCGTGTGATTACTTCAGGTTTGACCAGGATTGTCTCAAGACCTTTGATCTTAGGAAAATACCAGGTAGCAGGCATAAGAAAGGCTGTTTGTTATGCTAGCAGGAAAAAAAAAACATCCACATGTAAGCATATAAGTAGGGAATTCATTGTGTTAACCTGCAGGTAGGCTTTTGTAAGTGGGAAAACAATAACCAATGACATGATTCTATGACTGAAACCTAGTTCAGTGATATCTTTCTTAGCTGGCCAGGAATACCATTGGGCCATGACAGTGTTAGTTGCTTTATTTGCTTCCAGCAGAGAAAATACAGTATTTTCTCTGCTGGAAGCAAATAAAGTAACTAATACTGTTGCTTTAAACTATGTTTATAAGGCCACATTTCCCTTTATTGTGCACTGCACTTAGATGTTTCCAATAAGACATTGGTTATACATTAACACATTATATATATTCATTGGATTAATGCTGAGGATGCTAATGGGGTTAAATGAAGACAAACTCCTCAACAAAGTGAGAGCAGTGCCATTGGGTAAATGGAATATTTGAAACTTAAGTGTGGAACTTTCAAAAGGAAATGTGTGTAGATACAGTAGTTGCTGTTTCTTGGGCCTATTTTGGGAAGCTGAACATTCCTGCCTTGGACCCAGGCTGACGTCCTGGCTTCAGTCACTAGCTGGGAGGCTGGCCTGTTTCAAAGGAGGTGGGTGGGGTGTCCGATACTGAGACTCCTGATGATGATTGTGTCTGCATGAGGCTGGCATGAAGCAGACGTGGGCAACCTTGAAGGGCCCACAAGGGGCATTTTGTTTGACCCCAGAACCTCAAGAGGCTGCCCCAGCCTATGTAAATGAAAGTGGTTTGAGCCATCTTCTGGTTTAAAAATGACCAGTTTTTGGAAATGATTCCTGGTTTTGACAAAAATCAGGTGCTCAGGCAGGTGGCTGCACTTTGTTTTAGAAGAGAACCAAGCGTGGTTTCTGGGAGGAAATGCAAATAAATTATGGGTAAGGGTGCAGGCCAGCTTTTTTCGTGCTCCATGGATAAAATTGCTATGCTGTGGGACCTCGCCCCTGTGCGCTCTTGACTACGTGGAGTTCAGGCAGACTATGGGAAGGTTATGGGAAGACGAGGTGTTCTCCCTGCAGATCCCCTATCCGCCAATATCCCCCATCCAGGAGTCCTCAGGCTGTAAATTACCTGTTAGCAGGCACGCACATAGACAAGAGGGAAACCCTCCAGTTGGTGAAAAGGAGCAAAGTGAAACATCTCAGGTCTATGTTCCAAAGCGCAGCCTGCACCCAGTGGGTCACTTCCCAAGGTGACCCCCTACAACTGGGGGCCATGAATTGCTCTCCAGGAAGGAGTGTTGCCGGTTGTTGCCTTGGAAACTGGCCACAGTGGGAAGGCCTTATGGAGAGCTTCCTTTCTCGAAGAAGGACTGAAACTAGCTGTTTTTCTCCCCCTTCTGTAGGGGAATGTTTGCTGGTGGACTGAGAGAAATGGAGCAGGAGGAAGTCCATATTCAGGGCATCTCTTATAATGCCATGTGTCAGATCCTGAACTTTATATACACTTCTGAACTGGAAGTCAGCTTGAACAACGTCCAAGAAATACTAACCGCAGCCTGCCAGCTTCAGGTGAGAACTGGCAATGCCACAAGCAGGGAAGGAAGCCCTTTTATAAAATGCTTTTGAGGCTCATGGATAATGCAAGTGTATTCAGATCTATGGCACAATCTAGTCTCTTTTTTTCCTCCTATAGCCTTTGAGCTATCTGGAGGCTAGATCATGGTAGTCTTAAGGAGAGAGATTTCTAAGACTACTCGTGTTAAGTGCCTGAATAGTGGAGGGGAGTCGTTCCAAAGTTGAGGAGCCCCAGGAGAGACTTGACCTGTTGGATTGTCCTGGGGAACACAAGGCCTGTTCAAGTTCCAACCAACATGCAGTGGTGAGGGTGGTTTTTTTATTCCCAAACCAACCACCATGAAACTTATAAATCTGGAGTCAGCCTGCATAAACTGGTGGCTAGCTGCGATTCTGAAACAAGGTGGGCAGTTCTAATGAGTCAGGGACAAACCTTCAAAGCTTCACAGACCACTCCCACCTCAAGCACACCCCAAAAACAAAAAGCAAAAAACAAAGGAACAAAACTAGAGGGAGAATGTACGTTGCTTCTGTTTTTGAGATGTGTGTGCATGAAATGGTGCAGAGGGAACTGGTGGCCTATTTAAAACAGGATCGGCGCCTTCTGAAGCTCCGGGGAGCAGATTTTTGTCAGGGGGAAATGTTTTGCAGGCAGGAGAATCCAGGACCACAGGAACAGCCTTGAGGGCAACTGAGGCCACTCTGTGCACCCCACGTCAGAGAGGAAGAGAGTGGGCCCAGTGGCTTGTGGTGGCCTCCTGCCCTGTTTCAGAGGAAAGAGTTGAGTTTTCCCTGTAAGCGCCCCTTTCTCTGCAGCCCCACCAGAGAGGCTCCTGTCGCTTCTCCTGTTGCAGATTGCAGAGGTTATCAAGTTCTGCTGTGATTTCCTCATGGCCTGGGTGGATGATGAGAACGTCCTGGACGTGTACCGGCTGGCGGAGCTCTTTGGCCTGACCCACCTGAGTGAGCAGCTGGACTCCTTTGTCCTGAAGAACTTTGTCACCTTCTCAAAGACACAGACATACCGTCAGCTGCCCCTGGAGAAGGTCTACGCCCTGCTGAGCAGCAACTCCTTGGAGGTCATCTCTGAGAACGAAGTCTACGAGGGGGCCCTCCTTTACCACTACACGCCGGAGCAGGTGGAGACGGACCAGGTCTCTCTGATGGAGCCTCCTAAGCTGCTGGAGACAGTCCGTTTCCCCCTGATGGAGCTGCAGACGCTGCAGAGGCTCCATGACAAGCTCAGCCCCTGCCCACTGAAGGAGACTGTGGCCGGCGCCCTGGCGTACCACAAGAACGAGGGCCTCCAGCCCCTGCTGCAGAACACGCACACCCAGCTGCGGTCGGAGTTCCGCTGCGTGGTGGGCTTTGGCGGGATGCGCTCGACCCCCTCCACGGCCCTCAGCAACCAGGCCCGGTACTTGCACCCTTTGCTGGGCGAGTGGCGGCACTTCTCGGCAGCCTTGTCCCCCAGGATGTCCAACCAGGGAATCGCCGTCCTCAACAACTTTGTGTACTTAATTGGAGGGGACAACAACGTGCGGGGCTTCCGAGCAGAGTCCCGATGCTGGAGGTGAGAAGGGACCATTTCCTTAACACGGGTTGTGGGGCTGAAGGTGAGGCAGGAGATGCACAGGCTGCCCACATATGGGGCTCTGTGGGTTGATAATCAGGGCATGTCGGGGGGAGCAGCGTTCCTTTTTCATAGATCTGAATCTAGAAATAGGTGTGCTCCTGCCTCCACCAGTGGAAGGAAGCAAGGAGCTCAGGCCACAAGCCTAATGCCCTGCAACCTTGAAGATGCCAACTCTTGTCGGATTTTGGAGGCCAAGCGAGATGAAGCCTAAGCACTTGAGAAGGGGGAACATGGTGGGGAAAGGCTGGAAGGGAATCCCACCGGCCAGCCCAGTGCTGGCAGAAGGAGTTGAGCCTCCCGAGCGAGAGGGGTTGTTGCTCAGGAGAGAGCAGCTCCCTCTGTTTGCTACAGTAAGCCACACAGGACCAGGACAGCTAAGAGAGCAACAAAGGCTGTGCTGTGTGAACTGACCACGGCCTTGGAGGAGCCAGAGAGCCTGGGAAGGGTGAGGGCTTGTCCCTTGGTTGTTCTCCTGAAGGCAGGAGCCACGTGGGCTGGGAAAGGGAACAGGTTGGAAGAAACCGTGGCGGCAGAGGCAGCGTGTGTTAATATGCTCTAAGGGGGGGGGGAAACAGAGACACAGTACTTGGGAAGAGTGGGGGCTGCCCCCAGTCCTCACCCGGTGCTTCTGTGTGCACTCTGGCCCTCCTCTTCCTTCGCAAGGTACGACCCCCGTCACAACAGGTGGTTCCAGATCCAGTCGCTTCAGCAAGAGCATGCAGACCTCTGCGTCTGCGTGCTGGGGGACTACATCTATGCCGTGGCGGGCCGGGACTACCACGAGGACCTGCGGGAGGTGGAAAGATACGACCCCAGAACCAACACCTGGAAGTATGTGGCACCTCTCAGGAAGGAGGTGAGGTGGGAGTTGCAGGTGGGCCAGCGGGGGGTGGGGGTGGGCTTTGGACGGCAAGCAAGGCGTCCCTCTTTGCCTGCACCAAAGCACCAGAGGGAGGAGGTGTCTCCAATTAAAGCTACCACTTGGATGGAAACCTGGCATGGAGCTCACTTATAGCCTTCCGTGGGCTTTGCCAGTCGGAGAGCTGGTTTTGGCCACGCTTCAGCACTGGCCCCCCAAAGAAGCTAAAGATCTCTCCTGGCTGATGAGGATCAATATGGGGATTCAGATGTGCTTCAAAGGGAACCCAAGCAGGGGAGGAGAGGAGGACAGGCGGTTTCATCATCCTTCCTATCACGTGGGCAACGCAGGTGTACGCACACGCAGGAGCGGCTTTGGACGGAAGGATGTACATCAGCTGCGGGAGGAGAGGAGAGGATTACCTGAAAGAGCTCCACTGCTACGATCCTGCGGCCAACTGCTGGGAGAGCCTCGCGGACGGTCCCATCCGTAGGGCCTGGCACGGGATGGCGGCACTGCTGGGCAGGCTCTACGTCATTGGAGGCAGCAACAATGATTCAGGCTACAGGCGAGACGTTCACCAGGTGAGGCCACACAGTGTCTTGGACCAGGCAGATGGCTAGCGTTAGGGTGGGATCCAAAAGCTAAGAGACCTCTCCAGGCATGTCTGGTCCCGCGGCATGGTGAGAGGGAGAAGAGGGTCCTGCTGGGCCCCCTTTCAGGGAGCTCATCAAACATCCAATAGTGTGGTGTGGTGGTTAGAGAGGTGTGGGCAACTTTGGGGGTCTGGAGGCTGCTTGTCTGCCTCCAAAACACACTGGGGGGGGGTCACCAGACCCAAGAATGACCAGAAACCAGGTTGCAAAAATCAAAACGGAATCTTGTTGCCAGTCCATTTTGTATGTCATTTTTGTGTGTTTGTGGGTTGCACAATATTTCACTGCAAAACCACCACTCCTGGAGGCTTCCGAGACCTTCCCCACCCTCCTAGTGCTGACGGCTGGGGGCCACGGAGGTCTCCTTAGACAGCCACATTCCAGCTCCACCCACCTCACATGAAGCATGTTGGAGCAGCATTCAGGAGCCTGTGTTTAAATCCCCACCTGGCCATTGAAACCCATTGGATGGCCTGGGGGCCCTTTCATGCTCCATCAGTGTGACCTTCCTCACAGGGCTGTTGTGTGGCTAGCACAGGGAGAGGAGAGAGACCCATACATGCCATGTTGACTCCTTTGGCGAAGAGGTCAGCCACCACAGTCGCCGGTCTGGCTAAAAGTTTGCTTCCTTCCAGGTTGCCTGCTATACCCCAAGCACTTCCCAGTGGACAACGGTCCGTCCTCTGCCTGCCGGGCACGGTGAGCCGGGCATTGCGGTCTTTGGGAACACCATCTACGTGTTGGGCGGCAGATCTCACAACCGTGGGATCCGCATGGACTACGTCCACATCTATGACGCTGAGAGAGATTGCTGGGAAGAAGGGCCGCAGCTGGAGGATGATATTTCAGGGATGGCCGCCTGCGTCCTCACCTTGCCAAGAGCTGTTCTGGTGGAATCAGAGCACTGGGCCCCTGACTGGCCACAGGGCCGACTCCCACATGCCCCTGACATTGCCTCGGAGGTCATGAGCATCTTGGACTGGGAGGAGTTTGATAATCTGAGCGACGATTGAAAGGCAGGGTCTTTTCCCGTCCTCCTGCAAGAGGGCTGACTTGCTGCTGCTTCCTCATGGCAGCCGATCCAGGTGGGGACGGCCCTTCCAGGACACTGTACCCTTCACAGTTAAGAGGGAGAGAGGAGGACACTGTTGGAGGCAGGCTGGCTCCCACGTTGGCAGTGAGAACCTGCCAGAAACTCGCCCAGTGGGCAGCGGTGGGTCTCAGAACAGTGGTTCACCCTGGGTGCTGAGGGGTGGGCGGCACGCCAGCCTCACAACCTGCGGAAAACTCTCAGTAAATACCCGCTGACTTGAGAAAGGATTTTTTTTAATGAACATGCCTTTACCGTCTGCCAGGAATGAAAGGGCAGCCAAAGAATTGCCGTCTCCCCCCCCCCTTGCAGAAGATGGGGATTGTGCTCCCTCACCCCTCCTGTTGCTTCTTGGCTGCATTAACAATCTGGGGTAGTCACGCTGGGGGTATGGAGTGTTCAGCGACACCTTTTGTTATGCTTGCTCAACAAAGCCCTAAGGCTTATTTAATTGACCGATTGATTGATTTATTGAAAATATTTTTACCCCGCCTTTTTCCTTGAGAAGGACCCAAGGTAGCTTACAACAGTGAAAGGCAATGTTTAAACTTGAAAATAATGAGTATACAACAGTGCCTAACATCATTTGCAAGAAGGCTGTGCCATCTTCCTTTGCTGTTGTTTTGTGGAGGAGGTGGGGTGAAGAGACACCCCACAGACTGGACACTCTCCCCATTGTCTGGGTAAATGAATACCAGTCAATGAAAACAGGGCATGGAGCTTTGGCGTCTCCTGAGGGGGATGAAAGGATGGGGACCTTTCTCATTGTTGCTCCTCTTAACTTTTGAAACTGCTTGTTCTTGCATTTGCAAAGGATGGGTATAGGATTTCACAGAGCTTTCGGCCATGCCCATCCCCAAGTAAAGACACCCCTCTGTAGACGGGCCTGATTTGTGCGTCCCTCGTTTAGCTTTGCCCTCCAACATCCTTTTGACAAAGGAAAGCTCGGCAAAGAACTACCCTCTGGCAGCTGCCCCAGAAGGACTGGAAGAGGCAGGGGTGGGGGTGGGTGGGGGAATAGGTTGCCCCCATACAGAGGAGAGTGCCGAGGCTGTCGGCCTGGGAGGGCCTGAGGAGTGGCTGCCCTTTTGGATGAGCTTGAAATGAGTTGCTGGGTGGGTGGGGGGCAAGCCAAATATTTTGGGGGGCCCGGAGGGATGTCCCCCCCCGTCCAGGAAGCGGAAGGCTCATTTTCTCTTGGTGGGCGAGGCCCCTGCCATGTGGCCCATCCCACCCAGCCAGCTGCTCCAAGGCAGCCCCTGCCTCTCCCCGCCTGCCCGAGGCCGTGGGGAGCAAGGAGGAGAAGGGCCCGGGCCCACGAGGGATCCCTCCTGCCGGGGCCGAGGAGACCCTACGGGGCCCCGGGAGCTCCTCCCGAGCGAGGAAAGGGGCCCACGCGGAAGGCCCGGGAACTCCGAGCAGGGTCCGGCAAGGCCGCTCGGGGTTTGGGCGGTGGTGGTCGTGGGAAGACAGCGGACCTTGGGCACCAGATCTGACCAGGAACTGCCCGGGCCGCCGCACGCGTGCGCAGTCGGGGACGCGCTTCCCTCCGCTCCCCGGAAGTTGCCTCTGGCTGCCTCCGCCCACTTCCTGCCGCGGGGAGCGAGTCACGAGGTCGCCTGACTCAGGAGAGGCCCGCCTCCCCTGGGCGTCGTGCGCCTGCGCGGCGGGGCGGGGCTCCGGGCGTCCCCTTTCCTCCCGCTCCGGCCCGCGCCGCCATTTTGGCTCTGAGTTCTGGCCGCGGCGGCCGCCGAAGCAGAAGCTCCGCCGCCGCCGCCGCTTCCGTCTGTTCCCGCGAGGGGCGCGGCAGGAGGGGGCGGGCGATGCTCCGCCGGTGAGGCCTTCGCCCCGGAGTCCCGAGCGCGCCCTCCTCCTCCTCCTCCTCCTCTTCCCTCAGTCCCCCCCTCACTCGCCGCCCCTTCCCGCCCGGGGCCTTCCTTCGGCCCGGCGGGGCTTCTCTTCCTCCTCCTCGGCCTCCCCCCCCTTTCCCTCCGCCATGTCCTCGTCGTCGTCCTCGTCGTCGTCGTCCCCGCTGTCGGCGGCCCGCTTCGACGCCTCGGACCGCTCCTCGTGGTACGCGGGCCCGCTGTCCCGGGCGGAGGCGCAGTCGCGGCTGCAGGGCCAGCGCCACGGGACCTTCCTGGTGCGGGACTCGTCCACCTGCCCGGGGGACTACGTGCTCTCGGTCTCGGAGAACTCGCGCGTCTCCCACTACATCATCAACTCCCTCCCCGGGCGGCGCTTCAAGATCGGCGACCAGGAGTTCGAGCACCTTCCGGCCCTGCTCGACTTCTACAAGATCCACTACCTGGACACCACCACCCTCATCGAGCCCGCGCCCAGGTCGGACCCCTGGTCTCCCTCGCAGGGCTGTTGTGGCTGCCCCGGGGTGGGGGGTGGGGAAGAGGGGCGATGGGAA